TAGAAATATGGATTTTAATGTGGGAGAGTATGAAAAGTTTATTGATATGGTTCTATATTCCACACTGAAACTTACCACTTGTTTAGTTTGGGTATAGTATCAAAGAAGAATATCCATGTTTATCTGAAAAGGCGATTAAAATATTCCTCCCTTTTCCAGTCCATAGCTCTGTGAGGCCAGATTTTCTTCTTATACTTTAACCAAAACAACATATTGCACCAAACTGAATGTAGAAGCAGAAATGAGAATCTTGCTGTCTTAAGACAGATATTAAAAAGATTTGCAAAACTGTAAAAGAGTGTCACTACTCTCATTATATGTTTTTGTTTAGGAAACTATAGTAAATTTTTATTAAAAAATGTTATTTATGTTAACATAAAATTGGTTTATTATATTAAATGGATTAATAAATATTTTAAAAGTTTCTCAATTTTAATTTATAATGTGATAAATATAGATACAGTTCACATAAACAAAAGCTCTTTGGGTTCTTAATTTTTAAGAGTTTGAAACAGTACTGAGATCAAAGAACTACTGTCTTAAAACATACTCATAACTTTGGTGCTAATTTGATTATAGGGAATTGATCCATTTTCCTTAGATGCGCTTGCAAAACATGGCATAGTAGCTCTTCGCAGAGCAAAAAGAAGAAATATGGAAAGGTAAGCTTGTAGATAATTATGTATCCTAAGTTTATTAACAGATTAAATTGAAATCATCCCATGTGTATGCCTTTTAGCTTATACATAAACATTGTTGAGCAAAATGGTAGCATACAAATCCCGAATTTTGTTTTTATCATTCAATAAATAATGGAAATGTCAAAAATCAAGATTGTTAACCTACTTCAGAACTTTGTTAAAATACAAAGAAGGTTTTCATCTTTTTAAAACAAAATTTAAAAACAATGTAGTACAATGACATTGCAGTCTTCTGTGTTAGATATCTTTTTACCTTTAAGAAATTAGTCTTTATGTTTCCCAGAACCAAAGCTATGTTGACATGTATGTAATTGCAGACTCTCTCTTGCTTGTGGTGGAATGGCTCTGAATTCTCTTGAAGACCTCAGTGTAGATTGCTTGGGACATGCTGGTCTTGTACATGAGTATACATTAGTGAGTATTTCTGGGGACAGTAGTTATAAAGTGAACAGTAAGCATTTATTTTAGTACTAAACCAGGTTTCACATTTTGAGGTCTTAATAATCCACAGGATAGCTTTTACAATTTATTTACTTAAATGTTAGTTAAGAATTCAACTATAACTTAACTGCTTTTAGTACATATTTAGTAATGTGTGACAAGAAAAATTCACAGGAAGATTGGATTCTAATATTATAAACTAAAGGTCTTGATTTCATAATGACATTACACATTAAAGTTATATTTTCTTTTATTATCTTTTAGGGTGAAGAAAAGTTCACTTTTATTGAGAACTGTATTAACCCTCGCTCTGTCACCTTGTTGGTTAAGGGACCAAATAAACATACTCTCACACAAATCAAGGATGCTGTAAGGGATGGACTTCGTGCCATCAAAAATGCCATTGAAGATGGTAAGCTCTTTATTGTGATGGATATGAACCTCCTGTATTTTTAAAGTGGTAATAAATCTGTCATGGTATGTATAATATTTTAAATGATATGAATGATGACTATTCTCATTTCACTTTGAACAATTTATAATTTGGGTTGTGAAGGTTTTTCTTTTGGAATATTTATTTTTTTAAGTGTTGACTTTTGGAATTCTTTTGTAAAAAAATAATTGTTTAATTTTTCAATTACAGTTGACATACATTATATTAGTTTCAGGTGTACAACATACAACATAGTAATTAGATATTTATATAACTTAGGAAATGATCACCCCAATAAACCTAGTACCCATCTCACACCATACATAGTTATTACAATATTATTGACTATATTCCTTATGTTATACTTTACATCTCCATGATTATTTTGTAACTACCAATTTATACTTCTTAATCCCTTCCCCTTTTCACGCACCCTCCTCTCAACCTCCCTCCTATCTGGCAACCATCAAAATGTTTTTCCTTACTATGAGTTTGTTTCTGTTATGTTTGTTTGTTTACTATGTTCTTTAGATTCCACATATAAGTAAAATCATAGGGTATTTGTCTTTCTCTGTCAGACTTATTCTACTCAGTTCAATACCCTTTAGGTTCATTCATGTTGTTGCAGATGGCAAAATTTCATTTTTTTTAATGGCTGAGTAATATTCCATTGTATATATGTATCACCTCTTTATCCATTCATCCATTGATGGACACCCAGTTGCCTGCATATCTTGGCTATTGCAAATAATGCTGCAATGAATATATGGATGCAAATCATAATTAAAATACCGAAGGTTAAAAATAAAGAGGGAATCTTAAAAGCAGAAAGAGAAAAGTAGTTTAGTTAACCTACAAGGAAGCTCCCATAAGACTGTCAGCTGATTTCTCAATGGAAATTTTGCACACCAGAAGGATTGACACAAAATATTCAAAATAAGGACCTACAACCAAGATTATCCAGCAAAGCTGTCATTTAGAATCAAAGAGATAAAGAGCTTCTCAGACAAGAAAAAAGCTAAAGGAGTTCATCACCATTATCCAGTATTACAAGAAATGTTAGAGGGACTTCTTTAAGAAGAAGAAAAAATACGAATAACAAAATGGCAATAACTATATATCTATCAATAATTACTTTCAATGTAAATGAATTAAATGCGTCAGTCAAAAGATAGGATGGCTGGAGGCTGGCCGAGTGGTGCGTTGATTAGGCGTTGGCTTGGGACGCCAGCTCTGAGCAGCAGGGCCCGGGTTTGGATCCCACATGAGGGCCAGTGACGNTATATCTTCTTCAGCTTCTTTCTTCAATGTCTTATAGTTTTCCAAGTACAGGTCTTTTACCTCCTTAGTTAAATTTATTCCTAGATATTTTATTTTATATTTGTAATGCTGTTGTAAATGGGATTGTTTTTTAAATTTCTCTTTCTGATAGTTCATTATTGGTGTATAAAAATGCAACTGATTTCTGAATATTAATTTTGTGTCTTGCTACTTTACTGAATTCATTTATTAATTCTATTAGTTTTTCGGTGGAATCTTTAGGGTTCTATCTATATAGTATCATGTTATCTGCAAATAATGACAGTTTTACCTCTTTCCAATTTGGATGCCTTTTATTTATTTTTCTTGTCTGACTGCTGTGGCTAGGACTTCCATGGGTGATTTTTGACCAGAGTCTTGAAAGATGAGTAGAGTTCACCAATTGGAGAAGGGAGTAAAGGTCTTCTAGATAGAGCAACTTCAGGAACATGGTGTAAATCCAATGGAAACAAAAACAAACATGATGCATTAAGGCAACCACTAGATTTTCCCACAACAGGAGACAGGAAAAATATACATGCGTCAGATTGGGAAAGGTCAACTATGCCATTGCTAAATAGTTTGGATTTTTCCTTGAAGGTGATGTTCAACATGAAAATCATTAAAAGATTTTTTTGTTTCGTTTTTGTTTTTTTAGCTGAGCCATACTGCCACCTGTTGGCAGTTTAGCTCGGGCCAGGAGTCGAACCGGCGACCCTGTTGTTCAGAGTTCACACTCCTGAGCAAGCTCTTAACCAACTGAGCCACTTGGCCAGCCCTCTTTAAAAGATTTTTGATCAGGGAAATGAGTTAGTCACATTGCCTGTTAGAAAGATAAATGTCATATGGAGGGTAGATTCAAATTCAGAGATATTTGGATGCTAAATAGTCCAGACTACAGATGATGATGACAGTGAGAATGAAGAGGATGGGGTATATTCAAGAGACCTTTAGGATGTAAAATTGACATAACTTGAAACTCTAATAAATGGGAGGGATGAGAGAAGAAACAGCTGAGTGAATGGTAACATTTCACCAAAATATAAAACCTGCAGGAAATTTACAAATTTGTGGTTTGTAGACTTTCAGGTACTCTCTTGACCAAACCACTGTTCATAACTCATCAACTACTCTTATTCTTAAACTTGTAAATGCTGCATTTGGAATGAAATCACCATAGCAGTCCATCTGGGGGAGAAGTGATTCTGTGGGATGAAAATGGTGGTGATTACTTGGTATTTCCATGGTACTATGGAAATTTTCCACGGCCAGTTCCCTATATTAAAGATAGTGGAGTGGCAAGCACTGGGAGTGTCTTGCTTGACTTTTGCCATATGAAATTAGTAACATCACTGTTTTCTGAACAGGCTTGTTTCTGGTGCAGGTGACATCAAACTCACCAAAGATGGCAATGTGCTGCTACATGAGATGGTGAGCTGATGTTGCTGACTTTAATAAATATTAATAAGCCTTACTTGAGAACATAGTACAATTTGTATATCTTTAAACCATGGCTGTCAGCTAACTCCTGCAGTCATGATTTATGCTTGTTGGATAAAACCTTGATAAAAAATGTTTTTTGAGCTGTTTCAAATCTTTGGATAGTCCAAGTAATAGCTTAAGGATACTTCCAAATTAGTTACATCTTTTAAAGGNGGAAATATATATGTGAAATTCATCAGTTGTGTGGATGACTTAAAACTATGAGAATTAATGAGTTTATCTGGAAAATGAATACAGATAGAGAAAAGAGGAAGTTAAGGATTGGGAACATTGGGAAACTCCAATGTTTGGAGTTGAGAAGAGAAAGAGCATTCAGCAAATGAGACTGAGAGGGTGGTCAGTGATATAGGAGGAAAGCCATGAGAGGGGTGTCCCAGAAATGAAAAAAGAAAGCGTTTCAAGAAAGAGAATAATCAGCTACATTATATGAGCAAGTTGTTGTAATCTGAGAAATGACCATTAGATTTGGGAAACATTTACATTTTTGGTAGTTTTTTTTTTTTTTAAGATTTTATTGGGGAACTGAGAGAGAGAACAGCGTTGGGGAATCGGGGAAGGGGAACAGACAAGTTGTAGTCCTTTTGTTCTTCAGTCTAGTTGTGGAGGACTTCGCTTTACTGGCCTATGTAGGTTTTATCATTGTGCTCTTCCCGGGTGAGGCAGTTGCTCACCAGCTGTTGGACGGCTGCTAATGGCTGCTCACGGCAGCTCACAAAAACTCACGCCAGCTGCCGGCCAGCCCCACTACAGCCTACACCATCGCTGGCAACTCATGGCAGCCCAGCTCCAGGTTGAACTGTTGTTCACCATCTTAGCTGTAGAGGGCGCAGTGTCACTGGCCCATGTGGGATCCAAACCGGCGTCCCTGCTGCCCAGAGCTCGCGCTCCCAAGCCAACTTTTAACCAACGAGCTACGTAGTTTTAATGAAAGCTGATTTAGTGAAGGGGTGGCCATGAAAGTCCAATTGAAGGTGGGCTTAGGAAAGAAGTAAGGATGCAAATGTAGACAACTAAGAGAAGTTTAGCTATAAAGGAGAGCAGAGAAATGGAGCAGTAGCTAGAAGGGAATATGGGAATGAGGTTGAAGGAGAAGAATTCTTTGTTTTGAAGATGGGAATCATTATAGCAAGTTTGTATTCTGATAAGAATGCTCCTGTAGACAGAAAGAATTGAATGTGGTGGAGTAAGGAACAATGCAGCAGCAGAGTGGGGAAATGGAAGTGGAGGGGTTAACCTTGGTTGGAGCAGTAAGGGGACAGTGTGTTTTCTCAAAGAAGCAAGGTCATTTGCTGAGAGCGGGTTGGGGGAAGAGTAAAGGAGACTTAAATGAAGAATATTCAACAAATGAGTTCGTTTCTTCCTAAATAAAATATCTTCACATTAAGTTAGGAGGTGGAATAATCTAGATTAAAATTTTGAAAACTTCCTTTTAATTATATTTATTCAAAAGTTATTTATTTTAATATATAACAAATATTGATTATAGAAGATTTGTACGTAGAAATTCCATTCCTTAATTGGGCATGTGAATTTTAGAGAGTTATAAAAATATTTACTCTTGAAAGAACATTTGAAAACAGGAAAAAAGACAGCCCCCCCCCCATTGTCTATATACCTAACTACCCAAGCATAACCCTTCTCTTAGTTTCCTTGCATTTTTCTTTTTCTTTTCAATGCCAAGGTGCTTATTTTTTTACAAGAATAGTCATAACCCTGTTTTATCTGCAATCTGTCATTCTGTGCTTATCAGCTACCCCTGTAAATATTTTTCCGTGTTATTACATAGTTTTCATGACTGTGAAATGGTTAGGTGATTATTTGTTGAACAATGCCCTATTGTTGGACATTTAGGTTAACAATTTTTAGTTGTCCCATATAATTATTTTGAACAAATGTTCCTAAGAAACTCATTGTGTACCTACCTTTCATTGCTGATCCGCTGTGTCATATGTTTGAGCAATATATTTTAGAGAATAATTCTGGGTTGACTTTTCATTGTGACTTAACAATCACGGTGTGTTAGAATAGATTCTGTTTTCTAATTTTGCTAATTATGTGTTAGGATTAAAGTTGGTGCAAGGAAACAGTGTGTGCCCTGGCATTTCTGTTATAACTTTAAGAGTATAATTCTAATTTTATACCAAAATTTAGAGTATATATTCAAAGTAAGAAACATTGCATATATTTAATAGGTTGATCAGAGGACTAGTTCTGGATCATGGCACTCGTCATCCTGGTATGAAGAAGCGAGTGGAGGATGCATTTATCCTTACTTGCAATATATCACTAGAATATGAAAAAACGTATGTATGTCATTGTTCTTTATAACTTTTGAAATTGTTTTTTCTAAAAGTGTTTGTTAATCTCCTCCTTTCCTCCCAAACATTTAGTGTAAACTCTTTCTACCTTTTCCTCTATACCTATTACCTTCACTAGCTTGTTTTTATTAAATTTTTTAGCGAGGTTAGCTCTGGTTTCTTTTATAAGACTGCAGAAGAAAAAGAGAACTTGGTAAAAGCTGAAAGAAAATTTATTGAAGATAGAGTACAAAAAATAATCGACCTGAAAGACAAAGTCTGTGCTCATTCCAACAAAGGATTTGTTGTCATTAATCAAAAGGTGAGAAATAAAGTTTATATTTTAACTATTTGTAAATGTTCTTTAGTGTTTCTCAAAGTGTGGTCTGTGAACCTGTAGGAGTCTGTAAGGTTTTAAGGGAGTTGGTGAGGCTAAAACTATTTTCATAATATTAATAATAATGCCTTTTATACTGTATTGACATTTGAATTGATGATATAAAAGCAATGGTAGGTAAAATTCCTGGTGCCTTAGTACAAATCAAAGCAGTAGCACCAAACTATACTAGTAGTCATCATATTCTTTATTGCCAAACCACCACATACNGCGATGGAGCTAGGCACAGGATATGGTGGGAACACGGAGCAGGGAGGGGTGCCCTGAACCAGCCTGAGGTCATCAGAAAGCACTTTCTGAAGGACATAGGCCTGGGCTACACCTGTAGGATAAGGAGTGAGCCAGGTGGAAGAATGGGGGGTAGGGAGAAGGGCATTCTAGGTGAAGGAACAACATGAGCAAAGGCACAGAGAGGAGAAGCCACATGGTACGGGGACAGAGCTACGAGAAGTTTGGCGTTGGTGGAGTTTATAGAGATGTGGACAGTAGTGAATAGGCTGGAGAACTAGGTGCAAGCCAATCATGGAGGGCATGTACTGTACTGACCAAGAAGAATACTATTCGTATTAATATACTAATGAGTGAGGTGGTCAAATTGACATTTTAACTATCTGCGGGGGGAGCAGTTTTAAGAAAGTCAAGACAGGAGGTTTTCAGAGCAGTCCAGGTGAGAAATTGTTAGGTCCTAGACCAAGGAAATGCTTTGAAAATGGTTAATAACACAGGCTCTGGAGTCAGACCTTGTGGGTTTAAATCCTGGCTCCACCTCTTATTAGCCTAGTGATCTAAGGCAAAATTACACTATTCCTTTAAGCCTCAATTTCCTCTTCTGTGAAACTGGAATATAACATCTACTTGTGTTGAGAGGACTAAAATAATACATGTAAAGCTCTTTAGAATAGTGCCTGGCACAACTGCTCAATAAATGTCAACTTTTAGAAATTATTATAGGATGATGGAAAAGAATGGAGGAAGGGAATAAATTAGATCTAGTTCCAACTTTCAATAAGTTTGTGTATTACTTTTCAGAATAAATGTACTATTTTTTAGAACAAATATTTTGTTACAATGTCAGACCTATAGGAGAGTTTGAAGAATATTTCAGAGAATAAAATTTTCTGTCTTTCCGCTAAACAGTGTGTGTGTGTGTGTGTGTGTGTGTGTGTGTGTGTAGTAATGTACGTATTGTTTCTGAACAGTATAAGAACAAGTTGCAGACATGATCTAAATATTTCAGTGTATATTTCTTAAAGCTAGGGAATCATGTAATACAGTGTAATGCTCAAAAACAGGACATTAATATTAATACTGATAAAGTGCTAATATTTAATCTGCAGATTTTATTCAGATTTTATCACTTGTCCCAACAGTGTCCTTAATAGCAGAAGAAAACCTAGGCTCATGGATTGCATTCAGTTGTCATATCTCTTTAGCGTCCTTTAAGCTGGAATAGTTTCTGAGCCATCTTTTGTGTTTCATGACATTACTGTTTTTAGAGTACGGCCAATTATTTTGTAGAAAATTTCTCAATTTGGATTTGTCTATTTCCTCATGATTAGACTAAAATTATGAATTTTGGGCAGGAATACCATAGAAGTGCTGTAGTGTGTTAATGCATCATATCAGGAGGCACATGATGTCTATTTGTCTCATTACTGTGATGTTAACTTTGAACATTTGGTGAAAGTGGCGTCTGTCTGCACTTTTCTTCAAATTAATGCTGATTCTTTTCCTCTGCATTAAAAGGACTCTTCTTTTGTCCCCATTCAGAAGGATGCCACACAACAACAGTGTGCCATAATTTTCAGAAATACAAAGGATTTTGTAAGTTTTTGTACTGGACTTACACTTTTTCTGTAAGTTTGAGATTGTTTTAGATATGAAGCACAGAAAAATTACTTTTATAGATTACATACATACACTTATATTTAGTGGCATTGATGTAATATTACTTTTTTTAGACATACCTATCAATAGGAGAGGATGGTTACTTTGCTTTGTAACTTATAGTTTTATGTTGTTTAATAGGGCCTGCACCCTAGAATAATAGCCGAAGGATTTGAAGCTGCAAAGAAAAAAGCACTTGAAGTTTTGGAAGAGATTAAAATTAAAAAAGAGATGAAAAGAGAAATCCTCTTAGATGTGGCTAGAACATCTCTACAAACTAAAGTTCATGCTAAACTGGCTGATGTGTTAACAGAGGTATGTGATTAAACTTTTGCATCCAGAAGGAGTATATAGCCTGACACATGGTGATATTTTTCATTTTCCTATAAGATAATCAATTATTGCATGTGGTTCTTTTGAATGTAAAATATGGAAGACATTTATAGGTTTACTTATAGACTAGATTTGATTGGTCAGAACAGTATGTGTAATTTTCCAAAAGTGTTATATTAAGCCATCTTTTGAGTTAACTTGAAAGTTGAAAAGAGCTTGGCTGCCTATGGCTCATCCTTTGTGGAAGCCATTGGGGCTGTACTGGTCTCTTAAACCTAGAGGTCCATATTTATTATGTGAGGTGATACATGGAGAAGTTGTTTTGGCAGCGCGCTTTGTAGTTAAAGGTTACCACTTTAGCGACTCGTGATTGACCTGATAGATAATACTCACATCAGGGAAATGCATATTTGTTTTGTTTATTTCTGAAGATATAATGTATGTAAAAAAGGATAAGATTAGATATTTTGGGAAGTCTTTTATCAGGTGGCTATAGTTTGCTGATAACATTGTTCCCTAGCTTTGCAGTTTCTGAAACTTGAATATATTAGTTTATCAGGAATAATGAGTTTAGAACCAAATTCATAAGACATTGACATATAAATCAGAATGTGATCTTACTAATTTACGTTGAGAAATACAAATACTAAATGGACCAGGACACCTGAGTTGTTTCTGGTCAATTCTCCTTACCAATAGGAAAACCTCCTTTGGAATTCAGATTAAGATCAGACAATTTCCTACTGAACAGAGTCCAAATAAAGACTGCTGTATTTTTTGCTGTTGTAATACACATAGCAGGTGGCCCAGAATCTTCATGCTATCTGGTTAGGGCCCCCGTTCTCTTTAGGGTTACAGATACTGATACTCTCACCATCCAGTAGTTTTTGTTCTTATTCCTTATTAGTTTCCATTACCAAATAAAACTTTTCTAAGATATACAGCGGGTGCCAAAAAATATATATACACATTTTAAGAAAGGAAAAAATGTATTGAAATTGTAATACTCAATATATACCGATGATAAAAGATGAATGCAAGTCATGTGTATACATTTTTGGCACCCCCGGGTAGTTTTTTTGCTTTATTTATATTTTAGGATGGTTATACTGAAGCACTTAATTTCTGTAGTTATTTTTATGTTACTTTCTGAGCTAAGCAATGAAGTGGATTGTTCTGTGCTTCTCAAATAGCCTATCCCTGGGGATATTTGGCAGAATAAATGAGACATAGCTTTCTGGAATGTCAATTTTACTTTACGATTTTGGGAAAAGCACTATTTTCACATTAAAACAAACATGTATAATGGCATGACATGGAAACTTTT